ACACACACACACACCCCAGCCTGGTTCCCCCTCCACGGCACGTTTGGGAAGAGCTTTGTGCGGCTCGGGGTAGCGCGCCCATCCCCGTGGCGGCGGGGTCGGGGGGAACAAGGCAGCGGGGCGGGAGGGGGGCGGCAGACACACGACACCCTCGCACGGTTGGTGTTTCGGGAGTCGGGTCTTTCAGCTGGAAACCACAAGCAGAGCAGAGGCACTGAAAGGAGGGGACCTCCTGGAGATAGACAAAGACATCAGTTGGAAGCACTTCAGGAGAGGACGTCAAAAGGGGTGGAGAGAAGGGGAAAGTGTCCCCCCGCCCGTCCCTCGTCCCCGTCCCCGGCTGTATAAGAACATCCCGAGCCGGGAATGGGGCAGAACGGGGCCGGCACCTGGGCGGAGGTTGCCGGTTGGGGCGTCCTCCAGCCCCGCAGGGCCCCGGGGCTCCCCCCGCCTGCCCGGGCACCGGGCCCGGCGTTTACTGCGGGGCTGCCGCGGGATGCGGTGGGGGTCTCGGCAGCCGCTTCCCACAAATACACTGCTCCGTTAAGGTACAGTCCGGGTTTATTATTAACAAACACAGGAAGAGTCCACGTGCGGCAATAAATTATTTTCACAGGTTCTGGCATTATTCCCCCCCCCCCCCAAAAAAAAAAAGGTGCTGGGGGAATAAACCTATTGCATGTCTTAGAAAAAAAAAATCAGGATAAATTATATAAATTATACATTCAAAACAGGCGATTCTACCTCATTATCACTACTCCGTAATAAATAGATAAATAAAGTTGATTGCCCTTAGAGTCTGAATCTTAAATTACATTTACAATATAAGTCTCTACATACAGCATGTACAGGGCGGGGCGGGGGCCACCCGCGCGGCGCCTCACGCCACGAAATCGAAGGGGGGCTCGTTCTCGATGTCGTTGAGGGAGGGTTTGTTGTTCACCTTCCGCGGGTCCTCGGGGGTCCACACTTTGGCTGTCCGGATGATGTTTTGTTCCTTGAGTTGCTTTTCATCAGTCCACGACAGCGAGTGACCGGCCAGAGGGGGGAGTCCGTAGTCGGGGTCGCTCGGGGAGGGAGATCCTGGGGGACAAGGAGGAGGGAGGGGGGAGAAAGGCAGAGGTTACTGCT